TGGATTTCACACAATAAAAAATGAAATTATTACGGCACAAATAAGAATTGAAATAAGAAGAAAATTAATAAGAAGTAAGAATAGAATAGAGATGGAAAATGGCGCCACAATCGCAAGATTGATAAGCCAAGGAACGATCGCCACAAGAGTTTTGCCCTCTTGATAAGATCAAAGAAAATTGGCTCACTCAAGAACCTAGAGTCACACGCTCTCACAAGAGTGTTCAATCTCAAATTATATTCAAAACTAATTAAAAGTGTGTTTACAAGAGCTTATATATGCCTAATGCTTGTAAACTAATACTAATGCAAACCCTAATGGGCTTCTTGTACCAACAAGCCTAAATTCAAATAAACTAAATAAAATAACAAGATTTTATCCTAAATAAAAACTCAAAATAAGTAATGACTAATATTAAAATAAATAAACTAAACATAATAATTAAATCCTAATAAAACTCGTTAGAGTTCAAATCCTCTAAGCATATGTAATTGATTATCTTAGACTTTTCTAACTCTAAATTGAGCTCCCTTTCAAATAAGACAGCAACAATCTTTTCTAAGTCTTCATTTATTCTTTTTGCCCTTGTCCTTGTCATTGGTCCTTAAAGCTCTTCCAATTCCTTCAAGTCTTTGTCTTCAATGAGCCTTCCTTGATTCTCATCACATCTGCACACTCTTACTCCTAATTCCACCCCTTCCTCCAATTCGCATTTACATTTCCAACTCGTTTTTCACTTTTTTTTCTATTAAAATTTTGTTTGTGTTTTAGATATTGAGGGTTAGGGGATGAAAAATTAATTTGGCATGTGTACAAAGTTTAAAAATGAATAGTCTGAATATGGGGTGGAGAGAGAGAGAGTTTAATGCAATGTAAAGTGAAAAAGTGTTAATGATTTTCTGCTTTGTTAAGGAAACTTTAGAAAAACATCAATTTAATCATTAAAACATCAATTCTTCATCATGCATTTTTAGAGTTTGAATGCTTCTAAACTACAAATTTTGAATCTCTAAAGATACGTGCACTACTCCATGATAAATTTTTGAACGAAACTGGAATTGGAGCCTTGTTCGTAGAGTGAGATAAAGATAATTTGCTAGCCTCACATCGACAAAGAGATTGAATCTTTCATAGAAAAAATTCATCCACCAAGGTACTAGATAAAGGAGGGGGAAGGAGTGGGGTTGAAGGAAAAGGTGTTGAAAAGGGGTTGTAAGGAGGTAAGGAGCGAGGCTGTAGAGAAGAAAGAAAAAAAGTTAAAAGAGATTTTCTACAATTATGTAAAATGTGTTTAGGGATTTATCTGTAATTATATAATTTAAGTAATAAAAAAAATTATATAATCTGACATGTCACATGGTGTCACGTTGGTGTGCTGAATTGGCACTTTGTCTGTCAGCTCAGTACTTAACAAAAGAGAGTTGACAGTAGGGACTAAATCCTAATTTCTTAACATTTTAGGGACTAAATTCTAACAAAACATTTTATAAGGACTTATCGCAAAATGTCTCATATTCATGGGGATTAAAAACATAATTAAGCCAAAAAATATGATCTTCTTAGCTTTGCTTGTATCTTAAGGACACATAGCCTAAGTAAATCTCTCAAACCAAGCATGAAGATATTGCTCAAGCCTATAATTCTTCAATCTACCACTTTGTTTTCACCATTAATGGTCTTGAATCCTGAGAGAATATCCATATATACTTTCTCCTTTAAGTCTCCATGCAAGAATGCATTTTTTTACATCAAACATATGTAAGATCCAACCAAAGTATGCTACTATTGAAAATGATAGTTCTCATAGTATTCATTTTTGTCACTAGTGCAAATGTCTCCTCATAATCAAATCCATCAGTCTGAGTGTATCTTTTTGCAATTAATCTGACCTTGTATTAATTAATGGTACTATTTGATTGATACTTAATTGTGTAGATCCACTTGTGAACCGCTATTTTCTTGTTCTTAGGTCATTCTACAATCTCCCAAGTGGTATTTGTTTCCAATTTTATATCTTTTTATTCATTACTTGAACATAATTTTCATCTTTTAAGGCTTCCTATATTGACGTAGGGATATTTGAAAAATCAATAGCAAAGATAAAACTCTAATGTTTTACAAATAGATGTTTAGTGGATATAAACTAAGAAATATAATACTTGACATATGAACCTTTTCTTTTTGCAAAGCAATGGGCAGATAATCTATATTAGACTCACAATTGTTTAAAGAAATATTTAATAACTCAATATTAATGGTACTTAAACTTACCACTAGTTCAATTGACTGAAGTTTTCGTTGGATAAAGTCATGTTTTCTTCTCTTCCAAGATAGGTGTACTTGCTTTTATTTGCAATGAGTCATCACTTTCTTCTTTACTTGAATCAGAGGAATGAGGAGTAAATTCTTATAGATGATAAGAGTTATGAGGAAGAAAAGATAAATATTATATGGACCACTAGACTCAACCTCATGATGACTCTCCCCATAATGTTGAATATGTGACTAAAACTTGTCCTATTAAAGGTGACATCTATAGAAACATAAACTGAACAACTTGAAGGATGATAACATATACAATTTTTTTTATTTGGAACATATCCTATGAAAATATCCTTAACAACATTAGGATTCAAATTGCCACAATGTTGACTCTGAACATGAAACAAAAGCAATACAAACGAAAACATGAGTAGAAGGATGAAAGGTAGACATAGACTAAACATGACTGTAGCCATTCAAAATGTGACTTCAACCTATTGATAAGTAAGTAGTCATTAAAATTCTTCTCAATATGATTTTGGCATTGTCATATGAAATAACAAAGTGCTAGTAATTTTTAAGAGATGTCAATTTTTTCTTTTTGCAACTACATTTTGTTAAGGAGTATCTAAACATGTCAACTCATGAAAAACACTATTTTCTTATAGCAATTAAAACAAATTTTAGTTCACATATACTCATCCATTATTTGTCCATTAACATTTAATTGCTTGTTCAAATTGAATTTGAATTAAATAATAAAAATTTATAAATAGTTGAATCACTTCTATTTTATCCGTCATAAGTTTGTAATCATTAATAAAGGATACAAACCATTAAGCACTATAAAAAGTTAGCAATAGGAGCACGTTCCTATATATCAAAATGGATAGATCAAAAGGTGTATTACTTTTTAAAATTATTTGAAAAAATAACATGATGATGCTTAACAAACATCACATTAAAAAAACTCAATTGATTCTTTCAAACATAAAGAAGGAAGCAACATATTTTTATGCAATCTAAAATGTAGATGACCTAAACACTTACAGTGAAGAGAAATTTGAGAAGAGTCATAAGAAAACTAGTTACAAAATTTGAGTTTCCCTATTCCAAAAAACTATTCTTGGACCTTAGTTTTCACTTACATAAAGTAATATAACCATCTTCGTTCCTAAGCAACTCCAATCATCCTTCCTAAGACAAGATCTTGAAAAACATAATGAGATGAAAAAAAAAGAAAAGAAAAGGTTACTGCATAATTTAGATCACAAGAGAATTTATGAATGGAAATAAGATTAGTGGAGAGCTGAGAAATATAAAGAATATTTTTTAATAAAAGAACAGTGAATTGAATATTAGAAAATAGGAGTTTGTAAACTATTAGCAACTATAATGTAATGTATGCCAAATAAAATGGAATAAGAAGTAAGAGAAGAAATGTTAAGAGTTATGTGATCGGAAGTACTAGAGTACAAAACATGGGGTATTACATGAAGATAAATCACAATTCTTACCAATCATGGCAAGAATAAACACGAGTCATCTATGGTGAGAAATACTTATGTTTTAATAAAGAACTTATAGGTTGAAGAAATAATTACCCAAACAGATATTGTTTAAGCAAAGAAAGGTCAAAACTAAGAAAGAAGGTCTTGACAAACAAAACGACATTTGCACAAAGGCCAACAATGATCAAGAAGGCAACATGTGGCTTTCACATAATGACAAGAGCTTCTACGTCATCACATAATGACGAAGTTGATTAGTGGCCCAACCATAGTAACAGTCATGATAGTGGTAGTGAAAACTGAGGCAGAAAAAAAAAATGTCAAAGCTTGTGCATATGTATGCTGTAATAAAGATGACTATTAGAGTTTGGGTGTGTGAAAGTAAAGACCCTTAAATCAAAGGCTTTTATACCAATTTAAAATTTTGAATTGTATCCTATCATTATACATTATAATTTACATGTATATATAGGACTGTAATATTAATATTTACATAAAATACTATTCTAAATTATTTTCTAATGATCATAAAAATAATGATAAATAATTATAAAAATAATAATAATTAACTATAATATTCATATTTTAAATAATCTTCTAACAATGATGGAGATAATGACAATAATTAATAATTAGGAGATATTTTTAATATATATATATATATATATGTGTCTTTATTTAATATTTTTTTAATTAATCAAAGTATTCATATTTTGTATCAATTAAAATAATTTATTAAAAATATAATTCCTAAAAGATATTTTTTAAAGAATGACCAAATTCACACATTACTTGCCATTATAAAAATTATGTTATGCAGTTAAATATTAAAAAATCCCTTCTTTTAACAGTAAATTTGTTTGAAACACTTTTTTTTTACATTTCAATTTTTAACAAATATTATTTTAAGAAATTTTGAATTAAATATTTATAAAATCAATAATTAAAACATGTATTTAATACATATAATTTAATCATATTTAATATTAACTATAAATAACAACTTGATGGTAAAAGCTTCTTTAGATGTAAATAATCATATGCTGTAAAAAATTTAACAATAATGTCATTTGATCAGAATTTTTCGAAAGAAAAAACAAAAGAAATTTATGATAGCCTTCAATGATGATAAGGTGTGTGATGCGACGGAGGAAGATAGTAAAATATTTATTATAGCCTTCTGTATATCATTTTAAGGATGGCTAAGTCACTTGACATCTCATTCACAGGTTGGCCTCGGCAGATGTTATTGAATTTGGAGAAGAGTATGATGTGAAGAAAGAGTTGGAAGAGCTTAAGAAGACAATTGAATCTATCAATGATGTGCTCCTTGACGCTGACGACAAACAAGATCAAGTTCGTGTGCGTAATTGGATATCTGACTTCAAGGAAGTACTCCATGCTGCAGATGATTTCTTTGATCACCTTGCTATCGAATTTAGGAAAGACAAATTGGGTGCAGCTGAAGGAAAAGAAGTAAACAGGGTACTTCTTTCCATTTCATCGTCAAATCAATTTCCTTTATACACTGAAATGCCTGACAAAATTAAACAAATAGGAGAAAGTTTTAACGGTGTAGCAAAAGAAATGAAGGATTTAAATTTGTGCCCAAGATCTATTATGGTCAAGCAAACTGATAGTGGATGGAGGGAAACATGTTCTTTTGTGTTAGAGACAGATATCATTGGAAGAGATGATAGTAAAAAGGAGATTATCAGTCTGTTGAGACAACCTCATGAAAACCAAAAAGTTTCGGTGATTGCCATTGTTGGCCTTGGTGGTTTGGGGAAGACAGCTCTTGCTCAATTGGTGTATAATCACTTGGAAGTGCAGGAATTTTTTGAAATGCAAATGTGGGTGTGTGTCTCTGATGACTTTGATGTAAAAACTATTCTGAAGAAAATATTAGAATCAATTACTGGGGACCAAATTGAAGTATCATTGGGCAACTTGCAAAGAAAACTTCATGAAAAAATAAGTGGTAAGAAATATTTGTTGGTCCTAGATGACACTTGGAACGATAGACATGACAAATGGGCTGAATTGAGAAAGTACTTGATGTGTGGCGCACAAGATAGTAAGATTTTAGTCACAACTCGAAGTGAAAATGTAGCAAAGGCAATGACTGCTAGCACTTCCTATCCTTTGAAAGGTTTGACTGAACAAGAATCTTGGAGTCTGTTGAAGAACATTGCATTTGAGGACGGTTCCAGAGGAGTCAATCAAAATCTAGAATCAATAGGGAAAATAATAGCCAGAAGATGTAAAGGGGTTCCACTGTCAATTAAAACCCTGGGAGGCCTGTTACGAGGACAAAACGAAGAAAGTGAATGGAGGAATGTTTTACGCGGTGACTTCTGGAAATTATGTGAAGAGCAAGACAGTATCATGCCAATTCTAAAACTCAGTTACCGCATTTAGTATCCATGTTTTTCTCTTCTAAAAGCCTGGTATTTTAAGATTTGTAATTAAGGAAGAAAATTTTCCTATTATATCATTATTTTAATATTTGTAATATAGATCTCCAGATTAGTAATTTAGGATGGTATGTAACTTGGTAAATGAAATATATAAAAGTATTCAATTCTAAAGATATGTTATGAGCACTTGTATCATAATTTGGCATTTTTAGCTTTTTTTTTTGCACCAAATTGTTCTTCAAATCCCTGAATCTAGCCCAATTTTCTAAGATTATAATAGTTGAGCTGTTGTTAATATAGCCAAATTTTGCATTGGGTCATATTGAACATAACTCTTTTTATTATTCATTTCAAGACTTGTTTGAGTTGGGTAATGTGAAAAGTTTTGATAAAAACTACTCTTTGGAAGGCAAAGTTGAAGAAAGTGGACCGGATGCTGCTACCAATGTGCTATCGAGACTCTATAAGAGAAAATATGCAGGTTATCCTTTTTTCTCAGCCCTTGTTTCTTTTTTTTCCTTGCTTTTTCCCATAGGTAAGCCTTTTGGGATTACAACATAGAGAATGCGTGATGTTACTTGATTTTGTGTTGAAATTGAACTTTTTTATTATAAAAATGGAAGTATTATGAATCAAATTTCTCTGTGTTTGGTCAAAGAGACTTTAAATTTTTGTCCAAAATCAAATCACATTACCGTTGTTTGAAATATTTTATTCTTATAATTTATTTCTTTATAGAGTTCATTGGATTTGTTTGATCTAGTAGCACATATCCAACTGGACACATTGAGGTATTGCTACATTATTGTTGTTACTCAATTAGTTAAATTTTATTAGAAGCTCAATCATTTATGGCTTAAGATAATATGCTTTGTTATTATCAAAACAACACTTCAAGATTTGTTGTGTTAAGGAAAGTTTTGTTACGTATCAATTGATTATTCTATCTACATGTTCAAGTTTTGTTTATCATATTGTTCATTACACAATTTCAAAGATATTGGCTAAATAATGTAGAACAACAATTTTTCTTTCTTTAATGCTTTTGTTGCAGAAATAGACTAATGATTCACTTCAGTTGGCTTGAGATTAACCAATGTTAGTTGATGCAAGTAAAGATACTAGAGTTTATGATGCAATTTCATTGAATTCTGTTGTTGCGAGTATATCTATTGGAGTTAGTTTTGTCCATTAATAGTCATAACATCAGTCCAGAGGAAGCTATAAGAACCCAGTTTGTTCCTTAAAATTGATCTAGTGTTGCCTAATGCAAGATGAAGTGTTTGTTTTGTGCTCATATTTTTTAGCTACTATGTCATTGTTAATCTTTATGTTCAGTATGTTTTCTAATTACTATCTAACATGCACCTTAGAGTTTAGGGTGACATCAATGCACCTACTTTCTATTACTGTGAGTTTTACATTAAATTTGATTCATAATTGTATTTATTATTCACTAGTTATTGAAGTAAAACTTAAAGAAAAAAACATAATTTGAAAAAAAACATAATTTGAAATTGACTTGATTAATCTACTCTTTCTCTACATTTATCTAATTCAAAATGTTTGTTTTATTCTGATTGAATTCGCTTGTAGCTTGTTTATAATCAACATTGAATTCTGCTTCTTCTGATTGCAGAATTATGGGGCCTCTTTTTGGGTCTTCAAATGATACCTTTCAAGGAGATTCACACTATATAGGTGGAGAATGACTTCAAGAAAGCTCTATGCTAGTACTTTAAGTTTAACAACCTTCTTACCCCATTTCGATTTGATCTGTAATGTTAGGAATTTGATCAAATTTATTAGATTTATTCATTTTACCCATATTTTTAGGAAGTGTTGTGCTGATAAACTAGCTAAAATAAGGTTAAAAGACACTTTACCTTTTCATTATTTTGATATAATTGTCTCTCAGTTGCTTCCTTTTTTATGTTTTGATGGTTGTGGCAGTTGGATTAGTAGGATGCTTTTTTAAGTTTTGATTTCTTTTAGACTTTTAACTTCATTGTATATATAAAGAAAAGTTTGTTAGAAAATATGTTAAAAATATTTCACCAATATCTTTTGAACTTGCCATAAGCGATTCCATATTTTGACATATAGCAGCTGAGAATTTAAAACAACTCATCATATATGTTGGAATGGACTGAGCCACTGATTTTAAAAGTAGCTCCTTTCCAGCTTTAGATAGAGTTTTCTCCTTCCATCCATTCAATTTCTTTGACACTTGTTCTGGACTTTTGAGGAAACAATATTCTTAAGCTTTCCAATCATAGTTGGTAAACCAAGATACTTGTCATGGACTTCCACAACCTTCACTCCCATCCTGCTTCCGATTCTATCTTTTATCAATATAAAGATAACTCTTTTTTTCCATATTGACTCTTTGTCCTGAAGCATGTTTGACAAGATGCACTCTGTCTCTTCTATATTGGCTCTTCCAAAAAGAGGTTCTCATCAGCAACAGAAAAAAAAAAAAAAAAAAAAGACATGAGAGATTGATGGGGCACCTTTTGCTATTCTAACACCATATTGATGGGCCACCTGATCTCCAACAATTCTAAAAAAATTTCTGCTCATAAGAATATTTTTCTATAGATTTTGATTAATAAGAATCTATATCCAGCATCCACCTCAAGTGTTTAGGCATTAAGATCGCCAATAATATAATGTTACCAATTTGTTAAATATAACGTATTTAACAAATTGATAACACCACTACCCTCTTAAATACAAAAATGTTTGGATTAATACTTGTATGATTTTGGTCCTTCAACTTGTAATTGTGCGATTTTAGTCCCACTTGTTTAACACTCATGCAATTTTGGTTCTCTAATTTTCAATTGTGCGATTTTTGTTCTACCCTAGTTTTTAAAAAAATTACATCCTTTAACTCGTCATTTAAATTTCCACAAAGTGATGAAGTGGATGTTATTTATGCTATTGTGTCTCTCTCTGTTTTTACTGACCTGGTTGAAAATATTGTCTCATGATAATATGCTGTAACGTTGATCAGTATTTTGCCATCTGATTTTCTTGTTCAAATTCTCTCTGTTTCTTTGTATTGATTTCATTCTCCCTAATGAATTTCAACCCTTTGGCAACTACAAAAAGGCAGAGACAAGTGCCATACCATTAAAGTAGAATGGATCAATTATGACCAAACATCAAACCATCAACAAAATATGGTAGGAAATCAAAAGCATTACACGAATCAAAGGCATCATTCATGTAACAATGGACATGAGGGGGATGATGTTAGAAAACTTGCTTTGAAAAAAAATTATTCATTCAGATGAGTCGGACGGAGGAGACTGGAAAATCCTCCAACCCCCTGAAATTCAGCCCCTATGATTTGCAATAGTTATAGTTTTTCAGTTATTTTAAAATGTCTTTAACCTTTAATGGCTTCACCTTTTGAGAGTGTTAAAACACATTAATTGATAATAAGTATCTTGAAATTCCAACTATCCACTTCTTCCCTTCCCATATATGAACCAGTCAGTCACAACCCTTCAGAAATTTTACGTAGCCTAAATGAAAGATATGTTTGATTAATTTTTTTCCTGTGATATGAATACCTCGACAGTTAACAGCTGCATTTAGCCAAGAAAAGACAGTTCAAAAATGCTATTGTAGATTGCTCAAACTAAGTTATATAGAGTCAAATTACTTATCCTAGAACCAGAAAATGCAGGTAGCACTCAGTGCCATATAAACCATATCCAAGATTTCATTTCACAGAATGATGATGAACAATTGAAAGGGATTGTCCTATGCTGAAAAACACTTCTACGGAAGATTGTAGGAACATAATAATCATATCCCAAAAAAACAAACTGAAGAAAGAAAAACAACTTCTATGAATCAAAAAAGGGTAACATAAGAACTATTTTGACCTATACGAGAGTATAGTATACTATTTTAATAAAATAATACATTAATTGAAAGAGAAGGTAATCAGGAATCAAGACTGGCGGACAAAACATCCTCCATAAACAGAAAAGCAGAATGAATATCATGCAGCAAAATGAAAATAAACAATGAATATGGAGTTTGTTAAACATTTAAAGGAAATTTATAATTTATTTTGTATTGTCTTTAAAATTACCATGTTTCAACCAAAAAACAATAACACATGTGATCTTGTCAAAAATTAAGGACTAACCTACCTAATCATAATCTGGCTAGCAATTGACTAATTTACGAATCTACAGTCTAGAATCCTTCTAAAGGATCTCTGCGTCATTCTCTTTTGGCTTCGCTACCCGTTGCTTATGTTTTCTCAATAATGAGGTGTTAGTTTCATTTTCAGAAGACACTGACTGAGTCTGAGCATTAGAATACGAATTTAGATTGGGAGAAAAGAAATAGAAGGAAAACATACCCCTTCACAGCAGCACTTCCAACAGAACGTTTAATAGAAACACTTTCATTTATAGCATAAAATTTTTACAAGAAAATATGATAATTAAAATAAAAGATTCTTGGTTATAAGTAATGTTTTGTTTATCAAATAATACAAAATGTAGGTTATTAATTATTCTTACTATTTAGTATGAACTTTTTAAAATGGTTCCCTTAAAATTAACAAATATTTTTTAACTGTATCTTTTTTTAATAAAATATTGTCACCAATAAAGAGGAAAATTCTAAGATTTTTAAAAAGGCAAAAAGTTTTAAGTGTACTCATAAAATAATGTTTAACATTTATAGAAATTCTTTAATTATGACAATTGGATTTATAATAGTTTTAGAAATCTTGATTTCAATGAAACATAATTCTCAAAAATGAAAATAGATGAATAAAATAATCTTCAAAATTTCTTGTTAAGTTGCTCAGCTTGCGCCTGCTGCATTCGTTTTTCAAGCTGAATTTGTGCATAAAAAACAGGGACGTGACGAGAGTGGCAACATGTAGAAATCTGGAAGAAAAATTCAAATTAAAAAAGGATAGGCATTGAGGGGCATTCATCATAGTTGCAACTTGCAAGTCACTTAACCATCATTGCACCAAAACACTTTCGAGACACAGCAAAACGTATCTCGTCCCATTTTCCTTTACCATTAAGTATTTCCATGCCAACATTACTATTTTGCTACTAGAGCACCAACACTCATAGTCTAAACCAACAAACCATGCAACCCTATTCCACCATCTCTGGAACTAAGAAATCACTTTAGTTTATTAGTGAAATGAGAAAAATTATAACATGTATGAATGTCATTGTTATTAACAGTTTACCTTTATAATATTATTTGAGTTAGCAAATTTTTTAATATCATGGGGTGTATTTGTAATGAATCTCATCAGATCTAAGAAATTTAAATAAATTGATGTGATTTAAGCATTATAGAATATTTCCATTGTTTGTTGCATGACAATTAAAGAATAATGTATTTTTTTATAAATTTTTTTTATTTATGATAAAGTCGTGTTCTTATTTGAGTTGTTATACTCAATTCAATTATTAGGCATTAAAATATAGACTTAAAATTTTTTGTTTAATTTATTTTAAAATTTTGTTGTGATCACAAGTTTCGTCATATGCATGTAGATTGAGTTTTAAATTATAAGGTAAATTTTAATAGAAAATATATTTAATTAGGTAGAGATAATATTTCGTAAAAATTTATAACTTATACAACACCCTTCACCACAAAATTTAAATCATTGTCTTTAATGTGAAAAAAAAAATTGACAAAATAGTTAAGAAACTTAACCATGAGTGCTTTACAATGGAGTGAAAGTATTTGACCAACCTATGTGTGAAAAAAGAAAAGAAAAGAAATTTCATATTCATGTCAAATGTAGTTCTATTAACTAAATACTTAAAATTGTAATATTTTTTTTAATGAATTCACAATCTTCAATAGTCATATTTTTGAAATGGAATTGATGAATGTTGTAACAATTCTAAACAGTAGCAAGTGCACTAGGAATTGCAGCAAGTAATGAGTAATTTTTAAGATAAGAATATTGTCTCTATAGGGAAATAAGAAATCAAGTATCACTTCACAGAACAATCACCATTTGAGCCATACGAATTTGGAAGATTTGTAACATTCAAAAGTCAAGAACAAGCACAATTAAAAGGTAAAAAACTTGCATTAAAAACAGAGTATGAAAGTTGTGATGAAATGAGATAGGAATGAAGAATAGTTAGGAATTTACTTTACAAGAATGTCAATATTGATTCAATTATACTTCTGAACATTCAAGCAATTGGTTAATTGACAATCAGTTTCACATATAACTAGTCAAAGGTTAATCCCTTAACTCATTAACCCTAACAATCCACTAAACCCCCCTAATCCCTTAGGTGAAGTTCAATTTCATGTTGCATTAAGATTTAGAACCGTAGGATTGCAGAATTAAGTGTACTTATCATTAAGAAACTCCCTAATTCTGGTTGTTAATTCAGATCAAAGAATCAAATCCAATTCCCATTGGCAAATGTTCCTCTTTGATTAATCAAATGAATTCCTATTCAAAGATTATGTAAAGTGCAAAATTAACAACTTAATTAATCCAAAAACTCAAATTTTAGAAGCAAGAATCAAATCAATACATCAATTCGAGATCTATAAACTTCTAACTACAAAGAATTACACAGACATTGTGACAGAGAAATAGAAAGAAGGAGAAGAAGAGAAAAAACTCAAAAAAGTCATAGCCACGAGCTCTAATCCAATGCTTCTTCTTGAAGTTTCGAGGTTCAACCTCACTCCTCTCTCTCACTCTCTCCCAATGAGAATCTAACAGAAAAAACGGAAAATGAACCAAAGAGCCCGAGTTCTGAGCTTAAAACATGTATTTATAGAAATCTCGATTCTGTGCATTATCACTCTTGTTGATAAGAGTGGCCATGCAGCTCATGTGATTTCTGGAAACTAGAACTATCACTTTCGCTGCTAAGAGTTGCAATGCAAAAGGTCGAGATGTTGTGCGTAATCACTTTTATGAGTAAAAGTGGTCACGTACAACTTGCCAAGTTGGGGACTCTCTAGAATATCCACTTTTGCTGATAAAAGTGGTTACGCAGAGCCTGCTGAGTCTGAGGCTTCTCTGGAATACTCACTTTTGCTGGTAAAAGTGGTTACGCCTAGACTTCACTTCTTCCTTGAGCTCTAGAGTGATCACTTTCACTGACAATAGTGATCACGCTCAGCCTGCATTCCATTGTTCTTGTGTTTTGGAGTCCAGAACTGCTATTCTTCCTCTTCCTTTCCATTGATATTCCATTTCCATGAACCTTACTCAGATTATTCCTACAAAAACAAGCATAAATTTCACAAATGTTAAGCTAACTACATAATAAAAGAAAACCTTTAATCATTCTATTTTTCTTGTTTTTCTGCTGTTTCTTACATGTTTTCCTTATCAAATGGGTTAGAATTACACTAAAATATGAGTCAAAATATGGATTCATCACTACCCCAAACTTAAATTTTTGCT